CCCATAGAAGCAGTGGCAATTTGTTTGTGATTTGTAGAGTAAATTTTTAGATGATCACATTCAACTTGTCCGAAATCCCTTTTGGTCAACACAAACTCTATCTTTTCCAATTTGAGACAAAGTAGATTACGACTGTCTGTAAACTGACTTCCGGCCTATCTGAATCAGCCTGTTCTTAAGTTTACTAAAGTTAAATTCCGATAGTCCTTCTATGCTGTTTTGGTTTTGAAACACCGAAAAAGAAACAAATTCGTCTCGGGTGGTTGAGTATCCATCCGTATTAGGTCATAATGGAAAGATATTATGAGCGAAGGTACTCAGCTTGCTTAGACCGGCTTTGAGCGCAAAACTATAAACTCTCTTTCCACTATACTCCTAACAAATTAAGCAATTCTACTATAGTTTGCGTGGTTCGAAACAATGATTATTTTCCCAGGGGAATGCAGAGTGTGTGTGTGTGATCTCGAAATCATCCAATAAGTCACTCTACCGAAAGAAATCGATCAACTCACAATCGAGGACAGATCACGCGAATGCGAATTTGCAACTAATCAGATCGGTTGTCAGACTCTGGGTCACTTTAATTAAACAGACTAATACACTGATTTCTCCGATTAGGTCAACCGGCCGACCGGCAGTACAACAATGCAACAGTGCTTGCCTAACTGTGTTTCGTGACACCAAATGTGACTCGGTAATTAAAAAGTCCCTACCATCTGCTGCTGTCTGTAAAAACAGATAGAAATACACGTTTCTTTTTAAAGAAGTTTTCTTAGTCAGAATAAGTAAATTGTTCCAACTGAACTGGAGAATTCTTATTCCCCATCTTAAATTGGTCGCATACAGAGCAAATCACTGAAGCGAAAACGTGTTGACAGAACACACACACACGTCAGTGGACATTCGTGAAGCACGAACATTTGGGCAAAGGCTCGAAAGGGTCAATGCCCTATCATTCAATACCACAACTCACATCGTAATGTAGACAAGCAAGGATTGCTCGAATTCGTCCACGAATATCACAGAATTTATCTGAACTTGGAAGTGGATCAAAATCAGTCCATCTATTCAGCATAAACACTGTTCACGTGGACAGACCGATTTCTTCAAGCTCTTGTGTATTAATATTAATTCTACTCAACTTGTCCGAGTATTATGTTGAAACTAAAAAATTCCGATAATATTTCTTATGCTTTATTCTGCTTCTGTTGTATTAGTAACCGTGTTCAAAAATCTCAAATCCCAAATAAAATTCAATTATCGCATCAAGTGGACGGGGATTTCAGAGAGCGGACAACGATCAATTTTTGAAGTCATAACGCGCAAGGCGAAGTTGTGTTTTGTTCGTGTCTACTCCTTTTAACAGTTTTTGCAATCCTCCTCGCTTCCAAAGCTCTGTTGACCAGACTCAACAAAGCGGTACAGCGGTACATGTATGTGTAGATTTTCCATTCAGAGTTCATTTATATTCATGTACAAGAAATCCAACATAAAAACGAACCACACTCTGGTTCCGCCGCCCCTAAACGCACTGTCATGTAACAATGACATTTATTTGAGATTTCGGGGTAGGTAGGTGGGTGGGTGGGTTTACGTATATTAAGTTCAACTACATAGCAGTTGGTGAAGGGTAAAAGATAAACGAACACAGACAGTGTATGCACATAAAAAAAACGTTAAAACTGTATGTCAAATAGCCCTGAACGAAATTTAATACAAAAGAGCACGAGATATTTGGTCGGATTACGTGTTTATTTTTCGTATTATTACACACTTTTTTGTGATGAACAACAGACGGGGCGAAAACCATGATCACGAGGACCTGCTGTTCACTGGTGTAAACCGGCAACCTTATCCCCGCGGGACTTGGAGTGGTGAGCCACATAAGGCGCCACTAGGTTAGGTATGGTATTGAACCGGGGGCGACAGCAGAGCTTCCTACCACCAAATTCTGGTGGCAGTGGCGGGGTTCGAACCTCTGGATAAATGATTTTAATAATTTCAGCAGAAATAATTAGTTGTGATTAACCAAACGTATACTTGGAATTTCAAAAGACATTTGCTCGGTTTGGACTATAGTCGTTCAAAAATCCCCAGTTTTTTTGACAATATCCATTTTTCCTCAAAAGATTTGTTCCCATGGATTTCAAGAGACGACTGTCTCACCTAAACATTTAGCCTACTGACAGTCTCAGTTAAAATTTTGTCACCCCGAAAATTGTGCAAATATATACTTTCTCATGTCTATGTATCGAAAGAAAACTAGAATGTACTTTCGCGTGAACATGTGCGACATTATTGCATAGTTGATAACTGATAAGATGTCGGATCAAGATCAGGACCAGGAAGATTTATTAATTTGATTGACAGTCAAAATGAGATCCAGAACACTCGTGTAAAAGAGTGTCAGTATTTTATTTGTTCGGATAAGTGAGAAGATATTATTTTCTTTGTATAAGTTAGTTTATTGGTGTATGTGCTTGCCACATCCAACATGAGTTCATTCACCTATTTAATACGACAACAACTCTATGTATGTCATACCTAGTCATGCTTTTGGTTCTCGTACTGCTCGTGTTAATGAATTTTATTTCTTGTTCTGATTCACCTTTGAGTCAACAGACATTAGACAAGTAATGTATCTTTAGGACATTTAATCACTGCCAAATGTGTATTTTCGTGAAAGACAGAAATAAACTGGAGCAATTTGTTATGTTTTTACTTGATAACCGTTCTGAAAGTTACAATAATAATTGAAGCGATACTCTGTATCCCAACCTCCCCCCGCTCGTTATTGTTATTGTTAATATTGTTGTGGCGTTGGCACCAGGCTTTTTCTCAAGCCGGTATTAAATATATATATAGATATATATATATATATATATGTAAGGCTGAATGGTAATGCGGGAAACTCCAATCTTTATGGTGTCATTTCGTACGATCTTCTATGTATGTTTCTTCCATCAAACATGTTGCCCGAAAACAGAAGTCACCACGATTGACAATTGAGAAGCACCCAAATAGACATGTGACAGGTCACATTTTAACAAAAAAACAGCCTAATTCGCTTGCGATACGTCCTCTTCAATACTCGTGATTTTTCAAGATCATCTTGGTGGGTAAATATGAGAAACTCATCCAACTAGAACAAATCACTCATAGATCTATGTAACAGCCCAAAACTGTTTTCTACAATCCCAAATTTCACCAAAATATAAACAACCTAACTGGTACTCTGACTGGTTTCATTTGCAAACTCAGCCGTTTTGGCCAATCTCCGTTTATATATGAGAAGGTTTATTCATTTGATATGCTCATATTTTTGATGATGACGTAGTAAGTACTTTGTCAGGTTGGGGGTACGTGAAAGGCCTTGATTTCAAAAACATCGAACAAACCAAGGCTGAAGAGTTCCAGAAGGATAAGCTGATGCAACCAAAGCCGTACATGTCGCTGTTTAACGGTCGGGCCCATTGACAAAATGAACACAACTAAGGCTATTTTGATGTGTCCAGTGAAACTACTTAAAACGGGATCATTCCCGAAAAAGAACTTTGCCGTTGCCAGTTCAGGAATGAACTAAGACGTTTGAAAAATACTGGGCCGTCTGAAAAAGCGACGTACCACCTATTAACAATAAAAGATGGGCGTTCCAACGGCGGAACATCCGTCTCACTGTTTCAGAACAGAACAACTATGGAATGTGGAGTAGGAAGATGTGAGTTGGGACAGACAGATGTACCAAACGCGAATAGAGTGAATCAACCAGTTACAGTGCAAAGGGCTTTGTTGTGTGTACCGAATCCGCATGATGGGATCAGGGAGATGTTTTTCATTTACGGAATCCTGACTGGTTCAAAGTACCTAACACTATTGAAAGAGCAATTAGAAAACTGATGCTAAAATAGATACCAACATTTGTCATTTGAGAAAAAAACACGCGACCAATCGTGTTTCTTACTTCCAGCACATACCCTTTTGTGTTTACATGCCAGTGACACCTAACTATATTGCTCATTCGAAGAACGTTGTCAAGTACATCTTGCGGAACCTAATTGACTGCCGCGCATTCAAGCTACAGCATTCGTCATAGTGTACCTTCGAGGACGGTATGGTCGACCACTTGCTGCAGTGAACGACCGCGATTACCCAAAACACCGCCTAACCTCAACATTGCTCGTTCGGCTGCCCCACCAGATTCGTGCAATGCTGCGTAGACAGCGGGGTTCAAACACCGACAGTCTAGCTTTATCCTGCTTTCTTAATGGCCAAGTTTCTGCGTTGTATAGCAGAACTGGCCGAACTGCCGCAGCATGCACCCGACCCTTCACAGACAACCGGATGTCGCGACGGCGCCACAGATGTATCAATTTGGCAAATGCCAACCGAGCCTTCCGTGGGCGAGCTGACACTTCATCCGTGATACGTCCACCGGGTAAGTTGTGGCTGTCCAAATAACGAAACGTATCCACTTGCTCTATTACTTCCCCAGTTAGAATGAGGTTGGGTGCTGGATCAATCCAGTCTTGTCACTTTGAAGGTGCAAAACGCATACCGAACATGGCTGCATCAGCACTCAAACTATCCAGAAAAGCTTGCAACTTACCTGCATGTTCGCTTAGCAGCACAATGTCGTCTGCATACTTCAGCTCATATATATCAGCTTGCTGAAGCAAATATAAAACTAAACAACAAATGTTCCAAAATTGTGCACGTCAGAGAGAGAGAAAAACTAAACATAGAAATCTTATTTATTTTCAATGAATTTCTTTGTTTCTAAAATAATAACCTCTTCTTGGCAAACTGGATTCTTACTAGAAAAAATATGCCATCGTAGAAATAAAAAAATTAACACACCGCAGCGCTCTTTTATCCCACTAAACAATCTAGTACGGTTTCAATTTTTCCTAGCAATCAAGTAATAATCCATTTATTGTCACTAGAAATAACATCGAAAGCACAAGTATATACACACACAATGCTTGTCATTCTCGACCAGTCTATTGCCGCCCACTCACTTGCATCATGCTAGAGATTGTATCTCTTTCCGACAGAATCTCTGACAAATTTTTCGTCCCGAGCACATTGCGCAATGTGGTCGCAGCCAAGAGCCGTGTGGACCGATCCGCATCTTCCACATTTGTTATGGACACCACGGGATTGTATATTCGGTAATAGACCACAGCATCCACAGCCACTGTGACCGAATCACGAGTGAGTACCTGCGGATTGGCATGGACAGGGAATCAAATATGCATACTTTAATGTTTCTCTGGAACAATAGAATCGCTGCTACCATTCGGGGCAAGATGGAAACAACAAAATTTAACTTTTATTTGAGAAAATTAAAACTGTTTTCGAAAGAAACAACAAAGTTTGATCAAAACCACAGAGCACGTTTTTCACATTGTGCACTTTATCGCACATACATTTTATGTTACGCAAATATTGAAATAATATTGAACTGTTCTGGATCAATGATAAAAAGAGGGTGTGGCTTTCATGGAAATTATCCCTGTATTTTTTCTGTGTGCAACATAATGAACTATATTTGCGCTTTACTGAAAAAGAAACAACGAAAATGTATACACAGATGTTGATTAAACTCGTGCAACATTACTCTCATTTTGGAAACCCATTTATGTTTGTAATGTCATACTAATATATTGATGGATATGGGTAAAGTGTATTTATTCCTGATTTTATCTCTCACTTATATGTTCTTACTTCTCCGCTGTCACCGTCTGAATATCTCAATGAAATTTGTAATCGTTCGAAATTTACAGCTCAGATTTGAAAAATTTTTTATGCAAAGCATCATGGAAATTCGTTCTTCCTAAAAAAATGGTTCCTGCTTCATTAGAGTGATTGTTAAGCTAAACAAACGCATTATAAATTGTTTATCTCTTTTGATTTAGTCTATGGTAAATAACCCAATTGATGAAAACATTCTAGATTTAATAAATAATGACAATAATAAGTTGATAAATTATTTGGCCACCAACTACTCGTGCATTATCCCTAATACTGAAACAACTGACAGTATATTCCAAGAAACATACAAGTTGACCTTGAAGTGTGTGGCTCGTTGAGCAAACTTTTTCTAGTGTCACTGTGCCTAAACCGGATGAAACACGCAAGAGAGTTTGACGTATAATTGAATTCTAGAGGCAACTTAATCCAGAGACACATAAATTCGATGACTCAGTTCTTGACTACAGCAACTGCTTCGATTTGAACATAAGCGTAATTTATTACACAATCAACGGAATTTCTCCATCAAGACGTAAAAACACAAGGGGGAAAACGGTTCCATCGAAACAAGACGATAGTTGAATTTGATTGCAGGGGAGAAAAGTTGCACACAAACAATATGGGGAATATTCAAGGCGGATTAGCCAACATTTCCTCCTGTTATCATTTGGAAAATGACGATTCAATTTGTAATGCAGTTGAGGCCACCAGATATGAAGCCGTTATTGAACGCCCAACATGGCAGTGCACTTATTGATTTTACCAACAAATTCGAATCGCGTCGCCCGTCCATTTGGCATTGGGTTTATCTCACTGGTGATCAACAAGTAATTCACGGGACAGAGAAAGCTGATCTACTGACCTGGTCTTCCAATGAATTTCGTTTATACCTGATAAAAGAAGTAAATATCCACCTCGCCTAACGAGTCAGAAGGAAAGTAAATATTGAGCGCCTTGCTAATGATCTACTGCACATACCGATCTCGATTGAGTAAAACTTTCTTGCAATGATAATGGAAGTTTTTGATACCTATCACTCCAAAAACGCTTTCGCAGAAGTTATATTTCTCACAGCTGGAGGTTAGTCTATCTTCTCACATAAGGTTAGTAGTAGAAGCAGTTCAACCTCAATAAATATTATCTTTTCAAATTTATGCAGTTTCTGGAGGGGTCAATTCCAAGGTAGAATTCATTTGATTACCCTCCAGCAGTTGGGATTTGAATGTAATCGAAAACTATTACCTGTGTCAGAGACAAGTATAAGTTAGCTGCCTTGGCAGTGGTCGTCAGTAGTTAGGGTGCGGCGTGTATTATAGGACACGGGTAAATTCCGTTGGATAATCAAATTGGTGGACTACATGCCAAAGCGACTTCCTATATATAAAAATAGGTCTAATCGAAACTGAAGCAACAGGTCCCTGTGAAACACTTGTCGGTTCGTATGGGCAACAGCATTTATACTGAAGAAAATTTTTTCAAAACTAATAATAAACAAGTCTTGGAGAGTCTTTATATCCGT